TCTCAGCAGTTCTGGTCTCCTTCCCCAGATTCCACTGACAAGTTGATGCTAGATATCTGCGTGCTGCGTCTCTGCAGTCACCCGTGTCTGTTTCCTAAAGCCCAGGACAGCTACCCTCATCATTTCACTGTGCAAGTAGGGTGCATACGTGGGACGTTTAAAGCAGTGATATGGGAAATCCCAGCCACACTGATTCCAGCACCGAAAACTCCCTGCTGGAAAGACCGTGGCGAGACTCGGCCTCCCCCGACAGAGCACTGTGCCTACCTGAGCTGTTGTTGAACTTCCTTAACCCTGTGTATAGCTTCTGCTTGCCTCTCTCTACTTGAGAAGCCAAGTTCAACCCTGTGGGTGTGTGCATTCACTCGTTTCTATAGACAAGACCATCTTGCTTGGATATAACCTGACTGTAACACCAACTATAGCATTGAGAGCTCTTGAGCTAAACAAGAGACAGCTTTATCCTACATGGACAATTTCTGATGACACAGAGAGAGGCTAAGAGCCTTGCCTTTCACACATGTATCCAGCACGGACTCCATGTACAAATGAACACAAAGGAAATCAACGCCCAAGCAATCCCATGGAACAGCTCGGGAGCTGAGGTTAGATCAACCCAAGTGAAGACAGCTTGGACCAGGAAAGCCCAATGGCGTCATCTCATGCTGTGTCACCCCTCTGCTCACAGGAATGTGAAGCCAAACCACAGGTTCAACCACAGATCTGTGCCATGGCTGTAGAGGAGAGTGACACAGTCTTACACATTTGTCATTTAGGGTACGAAGTCCTATGATCGGGGGGCTTCTATTGCTGATTTTTGTTCTGAAGTCCAGGCCATGATCCTCTTCCTTCATGAATCTTCCTTCCTTGAATCTCTCCTACCTTCCACGAAATCCAGTACAATACAACTCTAAGACGTCAGCCACAGGAGATCTCTGATTATGCTAACCTGAAGATCCTTCTCCTTGCCTTTCCATATTGAAACCCATGTAGTACTTTGCCATGCTCTTTAATCCTGATGCCAAACATGAAACTCAAGCCAGAAGTAAAGGGAAGTTCTTAAAATCAGGGGTCTTTCATATTCATGTTTCTCAAATTCTTAGCAGGGTAACAATTCTTGAGCCTTAACAAGTCAGGGGCCTGGGGCACAAGAATATACATTTCTAGCAAGACCTCAGGTGCTGAAGATAGCGCTAGCCCAAGGCTTTGCATTCATTTCAGAACACCAATGGTAACTCATTAGTAGTCTGGTAGTGAATTTAGTAGTTTACACAAATACTTGCTCAAAATAAATATAAAACTGTTGAAGTAAATAGTATTAGAATGATAATTTTTGTATGTGTATAACATTTGCTTTTTGGGTGTGCTTTATTTATTTATTTTTGTTTGTTTGTTTGTTTGTTTGTTTTTGGTTTTTTTGTTATTGTTGTTTTGTTTTGTTTTGTTTGAGAGTTTTTCATGGTGTAGCCCTGGCTGTCCTAGAAGTCACTCTGGAAGCCATGCTGATCTTGAACTCAGAGTTTCACCAAGCCTCACACCACCAGGCTTGGGTGTGTTTTAACATATATACATAGGTATATGTGAGCCTGCAATGATACATAACGTGTTATTTCAAAAGTTTTAAAGTCTGTTCTTCAAATGACAGAGCATAAATGAGACATAAATTTAGACAAGGATATTAAAGTAATAAAATCCAAAGGAAAAAGCACCTTGGTGTTTGCAGCACACTAGAGCAGTGTCCTAGAAGATTCTAGCATGAAAAGGGATGAAGGCAGGAGGGGCAGAATTGAAGACAAACTTTCTGGATCCAGCCTGCCTGTGTTCTCTGTGGTTGAGTTTATTTCCTGCACCTCACTGAGAGGCAGCTATGAAAACTTTAGTGTGTGGGTGTTTCCTAATTTGCTACTGTATCATGGAAGAGATAATACCACTGTTTCCTTCAAGGTCAACTGCTAGCTTTGATATTCTTCTAAATCCAGTGCTGTTCCAGTCTGACCTTGAGACAAAACTGAATATGTATAATCCATAGGGATAAAAAGGTGGCCACAACACATTGCTTCTAAAACACTGTTACCAGTAGTAGTTTCTTAACCTTCTTGTTTCTTTAGAGAAAGAAAGAGCAAAAGACTTGAAGTAGGAAAATAAGTTTTATTCTAAATTGCATAGCCAAATACTACCAGCCACTAGAAGAATGTCTGGCATATTAGTGATATATAACTTAGGAAAGCTTGTGGTTTCTTCTCTTTTGAAAAAGTTAAGGAATTTGGAAAAATGTACACTAGAAGATAACATCTCAGTATATGAAAAGAAGGTTTTCTGTCTGGATATTGTGACTTGCCATCTTAATGTGTGACAACCTAAGTTTCTGCTGCCAGGGGACCATAAAGTTCCTAAGCTAAAGCAGTTGGAGCATCTGGAGCTACTGAAGAAGAGATCCCAGTGAAAGCATGGCTTCTTTTCACAGCATTGCTTGCTCTGTTCCACATGTTCTTGGGTCCAAGAAATTAGTTAGCTCTTTTCTCTTAGCATTAGCCACTAGTCACCTGGTTTCTTACTGTACTTCATGCTAAAAGTATGCAAAAGTGTGGAGAAAAATGACAATGGGGAGCTTTTCTTTTCCACAGAGGGTCTATGTGAGCTCCCTCAATTCTGTGTAAAATCCTTCACGAAATTCTGAAGAGACTGGAGCAAGCTCAGGCCACCTCGTGTGTGCCCTACAAGACCAGACAAATATGGGGCTGCTCCATTTGGAACTTAGCTCTTAGATAGAATTCAAAATGCAAAATCTTAAAAGGTACTCAGAGGAGATGAGGGCTCTGGGTGATAAAGGAGACAAAAGGTGATAAAAAGAGAAGTTGAAGGTGATGGACAGGCTGAGAAAGGAATACATTCCAGGTGCTTCCAGCTACTTGTATAGTTCCATTTATGAGAGGATTATGCTGAAGAAAGAGGCATTAGCAAATGCAGGCTTAGGAAATGGGTGACTGGGAGATGTATGTAGCAACTTCCACAATCTTGTTTATTCTTTACTGCTCAGGGTGACAATTGTGCCACAGCCACATCAAAATGGATGTCTGTGATATTGACAAAAAGATGTTCATTTGGATGCTTTGTTAACACCATTTATCCCATCGTGCTGGCATTATCTGAAGGACCAGCCATCTCTGCCTCACCGTCACTAGCATCTTGGGACTGGAGGTCTCTGTAGTTGGCATCCACCTCTAGTCCCTAGATTTCTATTATCCGCAGTAAATGGAAATGATACAGTTTAGAATAAGGAAAGCATACCACAGCAGAGAATTTTCTAGGTATAGCTCAGTGACTCTCACCACTTCATGACAGTAATAACCTACTGAGTCCTGCTATATTTCACTGGTGTGAACATAAGCAGTTCTCACCTATGATGTACAGCTATTGTTACTCTGTCTTTGGATATAATGGAGCTGAATTTTCAGACTGGTGAAACAGATTGCCTAAGGTCTTGCTTCAAGTAAAAGGCATCACTACCCCAGTTATCACACTGTACTGTCACAATAATGTACTTAAAGACCAAGTGAAGGGCATATCACTAGGAGAAAGGTCCAACATGCCAAGCCATGGCCTAGAATGCTCTTATCCATAAAGAATTAAGGAGTGGGGTGATTGGGGGCCAGGAATGAATACTAACTAAATTCATGGGCTATCTCTGAGTTTTGTGGTCAACTGTGTCCTGGAGAAAGAAACAGGGAAACTAAGGCTCAAGGGTAAGAAAATGACTCTTCCCCCATCTTCTTTTAACCACACATATGTATTGCCTTTTCTAAACCACAAAGATCAATTAAAACTACAGGCACATGAAAAGACAAATTTGAATCTCCTTGGGACTTTCCCAGCTCCTCGGATATTCGTCAACTTGAAACAGTGTTTGTTTGACTTGTCAGACCAATGCTCACTCTAAAACACCAGGGTTCTTTGTGCCCAGATTCATTTTTCCTGTGACCATGGACTGTAGAGAAGTTTGGCTTTTTTACCCGTGAAACCGTCCTGCACTTGGGACAGAGCGACAGAGGGCAAGAGGAAGAGAAAGTGGGCAACACTCTTACAAGTGTTTGATTTGTACTTCTTTTTCTTTTCCCATTGCCATGTTTGTGTGTATGTAGGCATGCTTGCATGTGTGTGGACAGATGTTTACATTGGGGAGGCATGCATGGGACTGTGGAGGCTTAGTGGATGTTGGGAATCTTTCTCCATACTCTTCCACCTTACCTATTGAAGTGATGTCTCTCAGTCAAACCCAGAGCTTGTGGGTATGGCTAGTCTTGTGTAGTCTTGTGAGCAAACTTGCTCTGGAGATCCCCTCTCCATCTTCCCAGGCTATAATAACAGGCAAACTCTGGGCCTCATGCCTGTGGGACAAATACTTAACCACTGAGCTGTCTTCTGGGCCTCTACTGTGGCTACTTTAGCTTGGGCTCTTTGAACAACAGTATTAGTTTGCGGAGCTCCCTCACAAACTGGGTGGTTTGTCAAAGAATAATCCTCTACTTCACAGCTTTGAAGGCTAAATATTCAAAACTGAGGCATCTCTGAGGTCTGCTCCCTGGGAAGGCCATGAGGAAGAACAAGTTTGAGGTCTCTGGCTGTCTGGCCGCACCATCCTTGTCACACAGCATTCTCCTGTATGGAAATCTCTCCAACTTTCCCTGTTATAGGAGGTTTCCAACCACACTGGATCGAGCCCACCTACTCACTTCTCTCCAAATAGGGTCCCTTTCTTAAGAAGTGGAGGTTAGGATGATGTGGGAATCATCAAGATGTAATCAGCCCATATCACACTGCTGTGAGCCACTCCCATCCCTCACACTCACCCAGACTCCACCCTGTCCTCTTACTGGGACTGAGAGCGTGACCTCTGGCATCCTGAAGATGGAAACTGTTGCTAGTTAATCTTTGAGAGGAAACTCCTGAGAAGGGTCACCCATGGCTCATCCTTAAGGAAAGCTCTGTTCTGTTCTTTGTAGGTGGTATCACGGCAACCTCACACGGCATGCGGCCGAGGCGCTTCTCCTCTCCAATGGACATGATGGTAGCTATCTGCTGAGGGACAGCAATGAGCAGACTGGACTCTATTCTCTCTCCGTGAGGTAGGCGCTTAAGGACTTGGTAGATTTCATCCCATCTGTCACTTGTTCGCTTTACAGCACTCACACAGTAAGCAACAAAAACTCCCTGATTCCTACTGAGTCACCAGATTAAAGGATCTCAAACTCTGAGTGGAAGACTGTGAAGAAATCTTCCCAGGGCTGGACAGACGACTCAATGGTTGAGAGCACTGGGCTCTTGGAAAGGACCCACGTTTGGTTCCTAGCATCTAAGCCAGGCAGATCACAATGGCTCATGGTCCATAACTCAAACTTCAAGGGATCTAATAGATCTACATGAACACTGGCACATACAAGAACACACACACACACACACACACACACACACACACACACACCTTCCTTGTTCCATTCACTAGCAGGAAAAATGTGTCAAAACCAAAAGAGACTTTGGGAATGGTTTAATCTTAACCTATCCCTGGACACATGAATACCCTGAAACCCAAAGTGGTGGGATGTTTGGCTTGACTCAGTAAAACCGGAAACAGCACTGTCATCCGAGTTCTCAGACTGGGCCCTTTGGCTTTTCCTTTCTTGCCTGGGAAAGCCAGAATGATTTGTAACCATGAGTTCTCATAGTCACAGACTCAAGAAGACAATGTTGAACTTCCAATTCTTTCTGTGGACTCCATTTCCACAAGGGGTGAGTTCATGTAGCTCCTCAAAGTTGCACTTGGCTTATAGTCTTCAGCCCCTCCCTGGTACCCTGGCTTCTACTGGCAAGAAGGGTTTTCTTGAGTTCTTGTAGCTTTGGCTGGACATGCAGGCAAAGGTTCTTCAAGTTTTCCTGGGCCACTAATAATGGCCATTGTATGACTGTGGCAGCATCTCCACAAATCCAGCAACCCTTGAAGGAGGCCACAAGTTTCCCTCTCAGTAGATTCCCTCAAGCCAGTGTGGGTCTCTCCTTCTCCCCTTCCTGTGGACCCCTGCTTCCTTGAACTTTTTGGATGGTGGATGGCAGTACCTGTATCCCTGTCGCTGTATATATATTCTTTTCATCCAGTGAAGCCATTTTAGTTTATTTGGTTTGGAGTTTTGTTTTTAATCCCCCCCTCATCCCCCTTCCTTTCTCCTCCTCCCTCTGATTGGGAACAAGACTGGATAAGAAAATAAGAAAGTATTTCCTAGCTTTATGAGACAGCTTAGTTGGTAAAGTGCATTCCTTGAAAGCATGAGAACCTGAGTTTGGGCCCCGAAACTGAAAAAGAAAGGAAGAGAGAGAGAGAGAGAGAGAGAGAGAGAGAGAGAGAGAGAGAGAGAGAGAGAAGAAGGGAAGGAGAGAGGGAGGGAGGACGGGAGGGAAGGAGGGAGGAAGTCAGATATGGCAGTGTATATTATCAATCGCATTGCTGTGAGTTCTAGGCCAGAGGTCTCTGGTGCCTGAAACAACAACCAAGGCTGACTTCTGGCCTCCACCTGCACACACACAGACATGCACATGAACTTGCACACACAAGTATTTCTGTACACACGTGAACATGCATGCATGTACACATACAAACAACCCCCCCCTCAAAAAAAAAAAGGATTTCCCTGAACAACTGTTGTCAGGCTTCTGTGAGTTCAATAGCAGAGAACTAGCATTGCTTATCCTCCCTTTAGACCTGGGAACTTCAGAATTGATTTGGCTTAAACATCCAAATTGGTCACGCCACTCGTTCTGCATGTATGAAACTCCAGGCCTAGCATGGGTGGGTTCTCTATTCAAATTCTACCAGCCTGAAATAAAGATGCCCCTTGCAGCTGGGGCTCCTCCCTGCCTGGGGCTCAGTGTTTCTTCATCACGCCTCCTTCCCTTTTGTGTTTTTCTCTCCTTTCCTTGCTGTGGTAGCACTAGGGCCCCTGCCCTCCCAGCTACCGTTCAAGGGCCAGGACCAACTGACAGATGCCACTGGAGTTCATGCTACGTGGCCTGCAGGATGTACGCGGCATGGATGTTTGCTGCCTTCCCGGCAGCCAGAGCATACTGCTCTGGTGTCCTCTTCTGTGGACAAAGAGAATTCTCTTTCACGGAGCGCATGTGAAGAGGTTAGGCCCACACAAAGATTCTTCCTATTTTAAGATGAACCAATTTAACGATCTAAAGGATCCACAAAATCTCTTCACAACTCCATCTAGACCTGGATGACAACTGGAGCAGGGATATACAATCTATGGGGCTAGGTTTGGGAATCTTTCTGCCACACCTTTGATTTCCTAACAGTGGGTCTACTTGCCTATTTAAAGGGGAGAGGGAGAGATAGGTAGAAAATGAGAGACAGTTTAGGCAGCCTGGTGAGAGGGGTATATCTAACATTTTGATGTTACCCTGGCCGGTTTTATTTGTAAATTTTCTAAATAACAGGACTAGAGGCTAGGGTAATAGCTAAGTCTATGCAAGAAAGAATAACTGAGTTTGACTCCCAGCACCCACTTAGAAAACAGTGTGTATTAGTATGTGCTAATAATCCAAGGACTAGGGAGGAGAACACAGAAGTATCCCTGGGGCTTACTGGCCACAGCCAGCCTTGCTGAAGCCATGAACTCCAGAGTCAGTGAGAGACCTTGCCTCAAAAAATCCAGGTAGAACTGGACATTGGTGGCACATGCCTTTAATCCTAGCACTTGGGAGGCAGAGGCAGATGAATCTCTGTGAGTTCGAAGCCAGCCTTGTCTACAGAGAGAGTTCAAAACAAACAAACAAATCCAGATAGAAGATACATGAGAAATGACACCTGAGGTTAACTCCTGGCTTCCACAAACACGTGAACACATGTGCTTACACACACATGAGAACACATGTACATATATACAAGGAAAAACTAAAGAATAGGAATAAAAAAAACCTACCAATCCAGCAAGTAATTCTGTTTTAGTGGAGGAAAAAGTCTTGCTTTCTCTTATTGACAATGAGGGTGGGCGCCCGAGAGGTAAACTGTGTGTTAGGGTGCTGTATGGCATGGTTCACCCAAATATCTCAAATAAACATGTAGAAAGAATTATTGGGTCACAGATGTAATTAATGTCTTATCTATGTGTGACTCATCATAAGCTATTAATGAATAGATTGCATGCATTTCATCTTCCTGAAAAATTAAAATATAAATCATTGGTTTTCATTAAAAATGCTTGGTAACATTTGTTGGTGTGGGGGGGGGGAACTGCCAGCAGAGGTGACAGAATCCATAGGCCAGTTGTCTAAAGGTATGATTATTATTTATGTATTTGTTCACTCCCTCAATAATAGAGCAATCTTAATCCAAAGGCCTTGTTGACAAGAAGTACAGACTCAGCACCCACAAACCCCCAACCTTGCTATGAAGTAGAGTGCAGTAGTGGCATGACAGAAGGCAGGCTGAGTGTGGGGGTGATTGAGAAGCCAAGTGGCTCAGTGTGAGCCCGAATCACCATGCGATGTGCGGGAGAGAAGGTGGGGAGAGAAGGAAAAGTCGATGATGGGTAGCGAGGAACTCAATGGGTAGCGAGGAGGGTTTCTACCAGCAGAGACCAAGGGAAAGGTGACAGGGACACTGGAGGTAAGGAGCACGGGCGGAGATAACTCATAGGACAGCAGCAGGTCCGGATGGATAGGGGTCCTGAAGCAGCTTCCACTGACGGCCCCTTAGGATCTAAATTCTGAGGGAGGGTCTACCTTCCACCTGCTGAGTCTTTGTCTGGGGGGGGTCTTAACAAAACTTACAGTTGGCTTTAATGATTCTGAAGTTGGGGTGTGGATGACACATGGGAGGTGAGCCTGGGAAGATAGAATGGGGACAAATAAAGTGAGGGGGGGAGAGGTTTTATGTAATTCTTTTTTTATAAAAACGACAGCCTTAGAAATGTGACATTTTATTTAGTAGACAGTCACACAGGCAAGGGAGGAGAAGACTAGGGATATGTAACTCACTGATAGAAGCGGACTTCTGACTGACTCCCTGACAGGGGAGGGCCAAGGACAAACACGTCATTTCTGTCACCCCTGTCTTCCTGTATTTATGCCCTTTATGGAATTAATGTTCAAGAACCTTTGCGGTCAGTTCAAGAGGAGGTGGGGGAACCATCTCTTCCCTTCTGGGGGAGTGAAAAGCCAAGAGTATTTTCTGCCAAAAGAAATGTGTGACTCGTGGCTTTTGAGGGCTTTGTGTTGTGCAATCTCAAAGGCTGAAGGTGATGCTCCCTCATTGCTATATTTGCCTTCAGAAAGAACCAACATTTGTTAAATAACATTAAACACTTCTTTTCTTCCAGAGCCAAAGACTCTGTCAAACACTTTCACGTCGAATATACTGGGTACTCATTTAAATTTGGCTTCAATGAATATTCAACTTTAAAGGATTTTGTCAAGCATTTTGCAAATCAGCCTTTGATCGGAAGCGAGACAGGTAAGCAGTCTTCATCCAGTTTTAGTTGCTATAAACAACTACCTGGGGTGTCTGATTTATTTAAGAAGGGCATTATAATTCTTATCTCTTCATGAGAATTTGCTTGGATTCTGGCGACTTCTGCTGGGGCTAAGAACTTGCATAGTGAGAGCCAAGGGATAAACACATCAAAGACCAAGCAAGCGCTCACAGCAGTCCAAGCTTGCCTGAAGCATGTGATCCTCCTACCTCAGCCCCACAAATGCTGGAATTGTAGACATGTACTGCCACACCATGTTCAAGCATCTATAACAAACCTGTTCTTGGTATAATCCATTAGCCCATTAATCAACTGACAATATAATAGATTAATATTTAATGTTAGGATTAAGCCCAAATCACTTCTAAAAGTTTGATCTGGTCCTTCTGTTTAAATATCATAATGAAAACTAAATCTAACATTAGGATTGAAGAAGACAAATTATATTCAAACCGTGGTATAAAGTGTAGACTTGACCTCCAAAATACTGCTCCAGGAAGAAAAACTGAAGTACATTTCAACAAATTTCATGCTCTTGAATCTTATGCCGGTGGTGGGAAATTGCTATGTTTAAAAACAATGTTTATATTATTGTGCCATATGGAGCATTAAAACATATGTGTATGAAGGGGCTAGAGAGATGGCTCAGCAGTTAACAGTGCTTGCTGTTCTTGACCTGGGTCAGTTGCAAGAACCCTCATCAGACAGCTCACAACTGGCAGTAGCTTTAGTTCCGGGGATCCAACACCCTCTTCTAGCCTCATGGACATGTGTAAGGAGTAGGGTTTTTGACATCTCCCATCAGACATGGGCATGCATGTGGTACTCTACAGAAAATGAGGGCACCCACATACACATAAACAAAAATAAGTATTTTTTTAAATGGAAGTACTGGGATTTCAGCACCCTCTAGGTGAAAACAAGGTGTATTTTACATATATTCTACAAAGCACTTATCTTCTCAAAACATATTAAAAGCTCACATAGGCAGGAAGATCTTGAGTTTGAGGCCAGTCTGGACCACATAGTTAATTCCAGGCCAGTCAGAGACCTGATCGAGACACAGTAACTTTAGAATGTTCTCTTTTATAATACATACGGTAAAGAAGACACAAGCCACATAAGCCAAGAAAGATTTTTTTTTTTCCTTATCATTTTAAGCATGGGCACTGAAGGAAACTGTGCCTGTGACATGAAACTGATAGGGTTAGAACATTTTTTCTTTTTTTTTTTTTGCATGCAGGTGAGACCCAGAGAACTTAATTTGAAGCACTTTCAAAGATAAATTTCACATGAAATGTCTACAGTGATCGATCAAGTGCTCAATATTGAAAATGTTGCTTAGAAAGCATTTCCTAAGAACAATAAAGGCCTATATCTGTCACCTTGGCTCCTTACAAAGTTTTAGGGCTGTACTTTTGTATGACTTGTAAAGATTCAAAATTTCCCATTTCAGTAGTTAGACAAACTGGAATAAAAATATATATAGGAAGCCATTTTGTCAGCCAGCATTCTGTTGGTGTAACAAATATTAATCCCTGAGCTAAATGGAAGTGTGAGTAGGAAAGTTTTATTTTGTCTGATGATTTCCATGATGCTTTATTCCATTGTCATCATAATGGAAACACACAGCATCGGAAGCCGTTGACCGTAACCAGGAAGTAAATGGCCGAGTCCCATTGTAATATCCCCTTCAAGGGACACCAACAATGACCTGTTTCACACTGGTTCCACCTTCTTGTAAGGCCAAGCAGGGGGCCACGCCTGTAGGATATGGGCCTTTGACGGCTTTTCTCTACCCACACTCACACACACAGTATGCTGGTACTTGACTTACCTAATGTGTCTGTCTATAATTTGTAAAGCAAGTAAAAGGTGGCCCACCTCTGCATTGATGGCTTAGGGTTCCAGCTTTATTTACTCTAAACGATGAGGAGTCTCAGTTTGTCAACAGTGGGAACACTTCCTAACACAGCCGATCACCATGAACTTGCCTGTGTCAGTTTCTCAGTAAACTCCTTGAGTGGTCTTTGTGCTCGGCAGTGTGGGGGTAGAGCTGCCATCGCTGGTTTCTGCTTTTGCATTTATGTCGCTGGGACAGACCCCAGAATGAGTCAGTGTCTAGCACAGATGAAAGCCACACAGAAGCCACACAGCGGTCGCGTGACTTTGTACTGAAAAGACCAGGTCTGCGGTAGAATATTCTGAACTTGAACCCTAAGCTTTAAATCTCTTTCCTGGTGGAGACCCTCTGGGTCAGCCCTGACAAGGTCCTCCGTCTTTAGCCACACTGTGTTTATCAACAAGCACACGTGGGGATGCTCATCTCTACCGCTACCTTCACCTGAGCAAGCATTTCAGTTTCTCTATCCCTGCCCTGCAAACTTACTTCCTGGTTATGGCTAAGCCCACACTGGATTTTATCCAATGCTTGGTGTCTTGAAATGGAGACGAGTGTCTTAAATCCAGAGCTCCATTTTGACCACCTCCCCTTTTGTACCCTCGCCTGCCCCCATATTTGCTGGCAGTGTAGGGTGTGGGTGAATGAGTACGTGAAGTAACGGATATGTACCAGGAATCCCGTGGCCGTCAAAACCATTGTCATCATCTGTCCACCTTCTCTTCTCCCCAAGCAAAGTCAGTTTTGCCATTTAAACTTGTATCCTGGACACTATCAAAACCTCTCTTATGGTTCTCTGTGCTCACCCCTGGACCTTCTCAAAATCAGGGGAAGGTGCACATCCTGCCTTCAGGTAGACCTCAAGGCAGGCTACAATGAAAGTGAATACAGTGTGTCTTGAGTGACTCTTTTCCCTCCCCGGTGTGGTAACCCTCACACTGCATTTGGAGCATTGTACAGACTCCCTATAGATACATTATCCTGACTAAAAAAAAAGAATCTCATGGCCAAGTGTAGTAACTCTTGCAGTTCTAACACTTGAGAGGCTAAGGCAAGAGGATTACAAGTTCAAGGTGAGCCTGGTCTAAAAAGCAAAGTAGAGGGTGGCCTGGTCTGAATAACAAGACCCTGGCTTTAAAGGGCGGTGGTGATTAATGCGCCAGGATTTATAATTAGAGTTTATAGAGTGGTTCTCCAAAGTTAAAATTTTCTGTGCAGTATTACCATGGTTCCCATCTTACTTATTCTAGGAAACTAAGGTTACTGTCCTGTCCACTGGCTGTCCTGTCTCTTTTCCATCTGCAACTTGATTCAGCTGATGGGTGTGAGCATTGAGTTAGAATACATTCATTCTCCTTGCTTATCTGTCCCCACCAGATGAAGGCAAAGCCACCGAGGCTCATCCAAGGGACAAAACCCAGGACACTTGAGTGTTCTAATCTGCCCTCTGTGGGAGTAATAGGCTTCCGGAGAACAAGATAGTATGCTGAAGTCACAATGACAAGCCTAGAAGGGCTGCAAATGTCACAGAGTCACCTCTGTAACCATGAGGAATGGTGAATGGAAAACAGGAGGCCACCTTCTAAAAATAGCCCTTGCCTTCTCGTTCACTTATGCACTGGCTCCTGTGCTATTTCAAATTTAAAAAATAATACTAAAGCAAAAAAAAAAAAAAAAAAAAAAAAGTGTGTGTGGGCTGGGTCTATAGGTCAGAGGTCCAGTGCTTGCCTGACATGTGCAGTGCCCTGGGGGGAGGTGACATTGGTGGGAATGTTGCTACCTCTGGGGGCAACAGGACTGTATCTGTGCTCTACAGCTCCGGTAGCATGACCCCAGGGATACTCGGCTGCAGGTCACAGAAAGCTTTTGTCTCAAAGGCAGGTGAACATGTTGGTCCAAAGGGACACAATGCAAGTGCCTATTTTCTCCTCTATTTCTACTCCTTATTCCCGAAACACTCAGAACTTGTGCTTTTTAATCGGAAGAACGCAGGCTCCCCAAATCACACCTAAACCGCTGCCAGTTGTGTGAACTCTAGACTTCTCCCTCCCTGTGATCTCCATTAGAGTTTATATTCACTCAAAGATCTTTGTGTTAACATCCATAAACACTCCGAAGATGTTTCTAATCCTCAAAACTTCATCATTCCCTAAGTCCACAATAGAGCTAAACAATGAACTCACTTGCTTTTCCTCCAAGAGATTTGATGGTTGTACAATTTTTATTATCTGCTGTTTTAAGCTATCTTATTCTGCATATCAACAGACTCTTGAAGAGGGGATTGTGGTAGGTTTTGTTTCCTAATGTATCCCAGAACGTGAAAGAGTAACGCTAATCATTTTCTTAGCATGCCACGGTTGTGTGTGTGTGTGTGTGTGTGTGTGTGTGGAGGGGTGAGGGGGTAGGAGGGGTAGGGATGGTAAGGGTGAGAGGGTGAGATGTAGAGGGATACCTCATAGTGCTCAAACACTCCTGACAATTGTAACTAGCAACATTGATACAATGCATAAAGCAGGCCTATACCTCTGTGTTCAGGATCTGCCTGGTGGTAACTAAATCCAGAATCTGCCTTTCTTTTGTCATGGATGATATCTAGAAAGCATATTCCTTTCAAACAGCACTCAGTAGACATGGGTATTTGAGAAACGGTTCTAGTATAGTTGATTTTTACTAAGTCTTCCTCTAATTAGCTAAGTTTCGTGCACACAGTCATGTACATGTAGACAGCAGTTATATTTATACTGAAGTATCCTTTTCTCATTTAAATAGCTTCCAGTGAAGACTGTCATGAACATTTGCTTATTTGTTTTTAGTAACGCAAGGTAACTTCAGCCACCTAACCCACGTAGGAAAGCATGCACAATGCTCCAAGTCGGGGCTCTGTTTGTGACTTCCTCAGTTGGAGCATTTCGGACTTCCTGTATGGTTCTTTCCCAAATGTCAAATTTCCACTTCTGTCTCTTGCTGTGATGTGGGGATGCCCAGGCTTTGGGTAAAAGTCACAGCTGTTATTATTCATTTGTGGCACCAGCTGTCCTCCTCAGGTACGAAGAATTTAAGATGTGTGTGTACTGCTTCTGG